TCTCTGTTTACATCCATGCCGTCATCACCTCTCTACATATCGCTGGGTTGACACTGATTTTGTATGAGTCACGTGTCACTGTTTCAAAGAAGCCGAGAGGCCGGGGCCCCCAGAGGCGTCCTTCGTTCAGTCATTCAGAGCCTTTCTTTCTTCATTTCCTTCATCTACAACTGAAGTTGTGTTTGGAATAACAGATGGGGGGCACTGTCATCTCATTGTCATACCGATTGTTCATTGTTCTGAGAAGGGCACATCATAATTCATTAGCGATAATTATTCCCTGGACGCTGCCTGTACTTCGTCACCCACCTGCCTCATTAACTTGGGAGCGGGTCTCCCGTTCTGGCGGCTCCAATCGATGAAGATATACTTAGAATGTACAAGTGGATGCTATTAGTTACAATATATTAACTGCCTAATTTAAAATAAAAAAGGCGATCTTTATGAAGGGCAATTAACCACTAAGTGTAATTGATAATTCATATACCTGTGATTAGGAAAGACAAATAATAAGAAAGAAATGAATGACTGATGTTATTAGAGAAGACATTGCCAGCCCCTTCACGAGTGTGGGCTGTGTGGGCATCGGCTGACACCGATCTCTGTCATCAAGAAGGTTCTGCAGCTTAGCTGGAGTCTGATGTTTTTCCTCCCAACTTTTAGAAAATGTTCATTATTTTTATCAAATGAGATAAAATTAGCACAGTGCCTGGCACGTAGTAGACATCATATAAATGTTAACTATTATTGTTAGTATTTAAATCTGACCTCGTTTAAAAAAATTAAAAAACACAAGCTTTGTGTGTATGTGTCTGTGTGTGTGTGTCTGTTCGTGTGCTTTCTATAGTCTGACTGGAGATGTAGCAGTAGAAACGATCATAATAATTGTAATAATAACAACTCACATTTCTCTAACGGTTTGTGGGTTACAAAGCTCTTTCCTCACAATACTCTGTTCAGCTCTGGATATCGTATTTTAGGCAGGACCTTGACAAGCTGGAGAAAAGGGAAATCAGGTTAGTGAAGGTCTTGGATCTGTATCCTATGAGAATTAGTTGAAGAGACTGGGGTTGTTTAGCCTGGAGAAGATGACGTCGTAAGTAGATGAGCATGCTTGCTGCTCTCAGGTAGGTGAAGGCCTCCTCAGTAGGAATTTGACTCCTTAAATTGACTGTTGAGAGGGGAGACTGAGGAGGTGGAAGTTGTAGGGAAACAGATACAGTGCCAGTATAAGGGAAATGAAACCTTAGAGCTGTGTCTCAGAAAGGTGATGGGCTCTCTCTGGAGAAGTGGCTTCTCTCCTCTGAGCACCTTCAGCCAAAGAATGGACGGCATCTTCTTGGACATCTGCTTGACCGAGGCTCCTCAGCCTTTTTTGACTCATTGGCCTCTTTGGCATTGTGATAAAGCCTATGGACTCTTCTCACAATCATGGTTTTTAATAATTAGAGGAAATGCAAACTTTCATTTAGAAGTTAGTGAAAATGAAGATGTAAGTTTTTTCCCACCCAAGTTCATGGACTCTTTGAAATCTATCCCCAGGTCCTTTGGATTTCTGTGTATCTCAAGTTAGGAGCACTTTTTTTTTTAACCTTGTTATTTATAATTTGATTTATCTAGAATTCTCCTACTAAATTATAGCTTTAAAAGTTATGTGCTTCACTTTAAAGAACAAAACATACATTTACAACTATTTTCACTTTTTAAAAAAAATTTTTTTAATTTTTAATTTTTTAATTTTTAAATTTTCATGGTAATTTTTATTTATTTTTTTGTTTTCAACATTTACTTCCATAAGATTTTGGGTTCCAAATTTTCACCCCATCTCGCCCCTCCCCCCACCCCAAGATGACATGCATTCTGAATACCCCTTCCCCTAGTCTGCCTTCCATTCTATCTTTCCCCCCCCTTCTCTTATCCCCTTCCCCTTCAATTTTCTGTAGGGCAGGATGGATTTCTGTACCCCATTTCCTGTATTTCTTATTTCCCAGTTGCATGTGAAAACATTTTTTTAAACATGTGTTTTTAAAACTTTGAGTTTCAGATTTTCTCCCTTCCTCCCTCCCCACCCACCCTCGTTGATAAGGCAAGCAACCAAATACAGGTTATATATGTGCAGTTATGCAAAACACTTCCATAGTAGACATGCTGTGAAAAACTAACTCTATTTCCCTTAATCCTATCCCACCCACCCCCATTTATTCTATTCTTTCTTTTAACCCTGTCCCTCCTCAGAAGTACTTGCTTCTGATTATCCCCTTTCCCAATCTGCCCTCCTCTCTATCATCCCCCTACTCTCTTGTCCCCTTCTCCCCCCCCATTTTCCTGTAGGGTAAGACAGATTTCCATACCCAATTGAGTGTGTATGTTATTCCTTCCTTAAGTCAAATTCTATGAGAATAAGATTCACTCATTCCCTCTCACCTTCTCCTGTTTCCCCTCCACTGTAAGAGCTTTTCTTTTCTGTTTTTTTTTGTGAGATAATTTACTCCATTCTACCTCTCCCTTTCTCCTTCTCCTAGTATAATCCTCTCTCACCCCTTAATTTTATTCTCCAGTTATGACCCCTTCACTTTCAACTCACCCTGTTCCCTTTATCTATCTATCTATCTATATCTATATATACGTACACGTAATTTTTTCCCCTCCAACTACCTTAATACTGACAAAGGTCTCATGAGTTACAAATATCATCTTTCCATGCAGGAATGTTCTTCCTGCAACAAGCTCCACCATGCCACACTCCTCCTCGCCCCAGGACCGCCCCTCAGAACTGTGACCCAGATCCAAGCACGGGCAAAGCAAGAGATTCCTGCCTCAGCACTGGCAAAGAGATTCCTGCAATCCCTCTCTGATCAGCCACTCGATTCCCCCTCAGTCTGTTGGCCGGGAGCTCAGGAGGCAGCCGCGGCCCACGCTCGGGACTTGTGACTGAGACCTAGCTTCTAACTCTCATCACAGTCACAGACTTTTCCCACTGACCTTCTAAGTTGTCTTTGGCATTCGTGGGTTGAGAAGTCTGGAAACTGCTACAGCTGGGTCAGAAAGTACAGTTTAAAAGTCTTTTGGGAATATTTCCAAATTGCTTTCCCAAATGGTTAGATGAGCCCATAGCTTCACTAACAGTATAGTAATGTACCTGTCTTCCCATAGCTCCTCAAGTATTTATGATTTTCCTTTTTTATCATCTTTGCCAGTGTGATGAGCATGAGGTGGTTACTTCAGAATTGTTTTAAGTTTTATTTCTCTAATTGTTTAGAACATTTTTTCATACAGCTAGTGGTAGCTTATATTTCTTCCTCTGAAAACTGTCTATTCATATCCTTGAGCCATTTATCAATTGAAAAATGGCTTATTCTAATAAATTTGACTTTGTCCCCTACATATCTTGGAAATGTGGCCTTTATGAAGAGAAACTTACTGCAAATATTTTCTCCCAATTTCCTGCTTCTCTTCTGATTTTAGCTTCATTGGTTTGCTTGTGTGAAACCTTTTTCATTTTATGTAATCAGAATTGTGCATTTAACCTCCTGTGAAGCTCTCTTTCTCTCCTTTCGTTATGAACTCTTCCTCTATCCATAGATCTGACAGGTAATTCCTTCCATACCCCTCTAATTCGTTGATGTCACCCTTAATATTCTAAATCATGTACCTATTTCGACCTTATTTTGGTATTAGGTGTGAGATGCTGGTCTGTACCTAGTTTCTGCCAGACTACAGTGTTCCCAATAGTTTTTGTCAGATAGTGACTTCTTGCCCCACTAGCTGGGATTTTTGGGTTTATCGAACACTAGATTACCGTTCTCATTTGCATTTGTATATTGTGTACCTAACGTGTTTCATTGATCTACTTTTCTGTTTCTTCCCCAGTATCAAGCTGTTTTGATAATTATGGCTTTGTAGTATAGTTTGAGATCTGAGACTACTAGGCCCCCTTCCTTTCCACTTTTTAAAAAAAATCATATCCTTTCTTTGGAGATAACACGGAGGCAAACTTCATCCTAGTCCCAAAATGAGCCCAAGTTTTAAATTAATGGGTCCAGAATAATAAGGTTTCATAATAATGGTGATAGATCAGATATGTTTTATGGGACTTCAGAATTCATGTGATCTTAGAATGAGCTGAAAGGGACATTGGAGGCCACCTCATCCAACCCTCTCATTTGACAGATGAGGAAACTGAGGCCCAGTATGCCTCGCCAAATATCACACAGGTGTGAGTCGCACCATTATGTCAGGAAGCATATGTGATACTTTAAGGTTCATGGTGATGCCATGAGAGAGATTAGGCAAACATGATTTTATAGCCAAGGAAGCTTTGTCAATCTGTCAGTCAACAAGCATTGATTAAGTGCTTACTGTGTACCAGGAACTCGTGCTAAGTGCTGGGGATACAAAGGAAGGACCAAACAGGTGTGTGCCCTCCAGGATCTCACATTCTAGTGGCAGAGATGCTACACAAAGGCTTCTCAGAAATATGGAGGCAACATGTTTCACTGGAAGTGGAGGGGCTGAGCTTTGAACCCAGGGCTTCGGAGGGCCATTCTGGTGGGCTCTGTCCAGTACTCCATGCTGTAATTAAGTGTATATACACAGTTGTTCTTTATGGAAAGTTAACCGCAAATCCTTCATCTGGCATCACCCAGTTGTAATGTCTTTCCAAAAGGATGGAGCAGGTGGTCTTCTGAGGGCCTTTCCTCCTCTCTCATCTGTCATACAATAAACTTGTTTAACTAATTAGCATTTAACTAACTCATCTGCAGCACTTAGCACACAATGCCTAGCACATAGTAGGCACTTAATAAATATTTATTGATGAATGTATTGATTGATTCTGGGGGTCTTGTATCTAAGACTGTCCTAGTGCATAGGAGGGATGGGTGGTCTTGAGGTTTAAATTTCTGCTCGCCCGTAAAGCCTTGGTCCCAGATTTGTCACATATGTGACATTTATACCAGCTGGATCTCGAGCTTCTCACCCTCTGCCCAATTTCACCATAGGATCAAGCAGTCAGGCCTGAAGCTTCGGTTCTGCACAAATGAATCCCAGAAGTCTCGGGATAAGTTTGTGGGATTGCTTCAGCGTTTGGGATTTGACATCTCGGTGAATGAAATCACGTCTCCTGCCCCGGCTGCTTGCCAGATTCTGAAGGAGCGAGGCCTGCGGCCCTATCTCCTTGTTCATGATGGTAAGACTGATCTCACTCCCCTAAACCTGAGTCGGTTCATTAGAAGAGGGTGGATTTGTTCTGGACGGTCCAGATGTCAGCCCGCGGTGATGGCCAGTTGTGTGGCTAGCCCATAGAAGTGTTTTATGGAGGTCCTTCTGAGACACCAAGAAATGAACCCTCTTGAATGAGACTTAACAGGTCTGCCTTGAGTCCTCCTGCCCAGAGAAAACATCTCCATTTAGTATTTTAATTTAGCTTAATGTTGTCTTTCTGCCAACTTACCTGTCCATTCAGTTATCTGTCTGTCTCATCTCTCCATCCATCCTTCTATCCACCATCTGTTATCCATTGATCCATCCAAAGGCCACAGAGATTTGCTGATCCCCTACAGTAATAGGTTTGGGGAATTGAAGAGATGTGTCTCCCTTTCTTCTTACTAGCTGGATGACCCTGAGGCTTAACCCCTGTTTACTTCAATTTCCTCATCTGTAAAATGGGGATAATAACAGCATCCACCTCACGGGGTGGTTGTAAGGCCCAAGCAAGACAGTAATTGTAAAGTGCTTCGCACAGTGCCCGACACATACTAGGCTCTATGTAAATGTTAGTTATTGATGGTGACGAAGGCAGCGACCATAGATTGAGGTGGGGAGACTGGACTTAGGCAGCACATGAACTTGGTTTCTGACATTGACTCAATTTGGTCAAATAAATACTTGTTCCTGGTGTGGGAGGCTTGTAGGATCCTAACCCTGGCAGGCAGTGGAAGGGAAGAGAATAAACATTTATACAGCACTGGGCTAAGTGCCTTTTTTTTTTTGGTTAGGCAGTGGGGTTAAGTGACTTGCCCAGGGTCATACAGCTAGTAAGTGTCAAGTGTCTGAGGCCAGATTTGAACTCAGGTCTTCCTGACTCCGGGGCCGGTGCTCTGTCCACCTTTTTTTTTTTTTTAAACAATTTTTATCTCCTTTGACTCTCTCAACAACCCTGCAAGGTAGGTGCTGTTATTATCTCCATTTTACAGATGAAGAAACAGAGGTTAAGTGACTTGCCCAGGGTCCTACAGTATCTGAAATAGGATTTGAACTCAGGTCTTCCTAACTCCAGGCCTAGTGCTCAATCACCTTGTTGCACCACCACTTACCTTTAGGCAGCAAAGCTGAAGGAACTTCAGAGGCCCCCTCATCTGCCTCCCACATTTTACAGGTGAGAAAACTGCCTCCCAGGGTCACCCAAGGTGATGGGGATCAGAGGTGGGCTTTGAACCCAGGCCTTTTGACTCCCATGTCAATGCTCTCTCTATTATATCTGGAATTGGACGGTGATTGAGGAAGAGGTCATTTGTACATGCTCAGAAGAGAAAATTAAGAAAAATTAGTTCCTTTGAGTTTTTTTTTACCCCAGTGGCTAGTGATCTATAAATCATGAATTATATTTGTGAATGTGGAGGCAAAAATGACCCATCTCTGAATTTCCGTTCTGTGGGAGGACATTTTTCCATGCTCAGAAATCTGAGTGGGATCATGACAGAAGGACTTTGGTAAAGTTTGGCCATGTGGGATTTGTGACTTTGGGGAGGATGGTTTTATCTCTTATTTTATTTTATTTTTTGAGGAAAGCAAACAGAACAGGGTTGCCTTGTACCTTCTGCATATTTTAAGAGGATGACATTTAGCAGTGCTTGAGAATTCTTGATGTTTTCTGTCTCATCTGTGACTTCTGCCCGGCCCCCTAGGCTTTTGACCTGCTGTTTTCATCTTAAAATAGCCCCGGAAAGTCTTTCCTGGGCTGTCCCAGAGCTGGGTCTTAGATGGAGACAAGAGTCACTAATGGAAGGACCTGAATAGCTCCTTACCAGCCCTTCCACCCAATTATGGGAGGCCATTCTTTGGCCCCTAGGAATTACTAGGTTTATTGAGAGCCCTTCCTTAGTAATGCAAGCACTGGTCGAATGTGGTTCTATAAGGAAGGGTGGGGGTTGATTTATCAAAAAGGAAGAGCGAAAGGTTTCACAATTCTCCAAGCATATAATAATAATGACAATAATAATAAATTAATAATATACTAATACAGTAATAATATATGTGCAATAATAATTAATAAATTAAGTATTTAATAAAGTATCTGTATTTGCATACTATATTACGATGTATTGTCTGTATTTTACAAGAACCATTGTGTGTGTAAGAGAGAAGACAGTGACCCTTCCTCAGTGAGGATCCCAGGGATGGAGGAGGGTTCATTTTCATACAGAGTGCTCTGCCAGTGACCTTTGGTTTTTCAGGGTCGATTGATCCACTGTAAGTTTTGTTTGGGAGCCAGCTGCAAATGTCGATGACTTCAGTGACTTTCCCAGGGTCATACAGCCAGTAAGTGTCAAGCGTCTGAGGCCAGATCCTGGTGGCCGGAACTGTCTGCTTCAGCTGCAAATATTGATCTGTGACTCAGCCCTTTTGGACTGTTGGAACTTCACGAAGAGGCCCTGGGTCACGGTTGTGCCCGCCGTGGCTAACGCCACGTTATTGGGCTGGTCCTTTTGTTAACGAGTTACGTGTGAAGAGATGTTCTTAGGGTTCAAAGGAAACCACCTTTTCCCCAAGTAATTCAGTTTCCAGAATATGAATTCTAGAACCCTAGCTGTACAGCTGGAAGGGAAAACAGACACCATCTAGTCCAAACCGTTCATTTGACGGATCAGGAAACTGAGGCCCAGAGAGGGGACACTACTTGTCTAAGCCACACGCAGGCTCATAGCTGTGGATGAAGAAAGGTCCTCAGAGTCCACCTCTCTGACTTTACAGAAGAAGACACTGAGGTTCTAGATAGCGCCGCCATCGTTGGGTTTTCAAAGAAACTCTTAACTTCCTGGAATTAGCCGGGAGCAAGCCCAGTGACCAGGACATGATATTAGAAGCTGACCGTAGTTTGTTTTTTTAACCACAAACCCAGACTATGCGGAAGTACCTTTGTTCCATGAGCTGAGGGATTTGGGGAAGATTGGGACCATTTATTCTCACCCCTGTTCCCATTGAAAAATGGGACAACTCAGTCATGAGTCAAGAGATTTGGTCAAGTTGATGGGTTGGTCATGCAGAGCTGGGGTATTTTTGGATTCCCAGGCCAGGAATCCTCAAACTCACACACTTTGAGATTTGTAGGGAATCAGGAGATGATTCTTTTTTTTTTCTCACCTTCAATGACTCTGGGAAACTCAGTTTCTCTACCTGTAAAATGGTCTAATAAGACTTGCTCCACTTCCCTCACAGGACTGTCGTGGGGTAGTGGCACCATAAGCCACAGAATGCTATGAAAAAAGTGTTATTTTTATTTAGATTCTTATCTGGCAGTGCCAGCTGTCTGAATGTTCAAAACAGTCCAGAGCACTCTCCTCTCAAGACCTTTTGGGATCTCAGCTCTGTCATCTTATGCCTTAGCTTTGCATCCCAGCTCTGTGTCAACGGAAAATTTTATCAGCACGTCCTCTCTCCAAGTCGCTGATAAAAACATTAAAAAACACAGGGTCAGACACAGATCCCTGGGGTGCTCCATAGAGTGCCTCCTTCCAAATTGACGCAGACCCAGTCGTGGCTTCTCTGGGTTTGCTCATTCACCCAGCTCTGATTCCACTTAATTGTGCCCCTGTCTAGCCTCCGTCTCTTCATCTTTTCCCGAGAGTAGCTTGAGGGCCTTTGTCTAGGGTTTTGCTAAAAGCTTGCCAAACTGTCTTTACAGTGATCCCCTAATATATCAGACGGATAATGTGAAATGAGGTGAACAGAACACGACCCATTCTTGGTGAAGCCAGGCCAGCTCTGTGATGGCTGCTTCCTTCTCTAGGTACTCACTGACCATCCCTTTATTAAGAATGCATTTTAGGCAGGAATCCATGCCAACCTCATTGTCCCGTAGTTTCAGAGGTTTTTTGAGAGTCATCACGATCTTCATCTTCAGGCAGTCCTGGACAGACTGCTTTGGTTCTCTGCCATCTTCCGAAAGGTCCCAACTTCTAGGTTTTTCAGTCCTTTAGAATGTAGTTCAAGGCGAGCCAGGGCAGCTCCCTTACTATCTTATCACTCACCTAGGGCATCAACTTCCTGGCGGCCGTGTTGAGCTGACCTTTTGAAGGCCAAAGATCATTCTACCCAACTTAGAACACTGAAGCTGCGTGGGCGTCTTCTCTCTGCTGGCCGCCATCATTGTCCCAGCCACCTAAGCAGCACTCTCACCCCTCCCTGCTCCCAGCACCTTCCCTCTGGGCTTCCTTCCCATTTGTCCGGTCTATGTCTTGTCTGTGCAAATTTGCTGAGTGTTGTCTCCTCCATTAGAAGGTAAGCCCTTTGAGGGCAGGCACCATGGGTGTACCTTCCTTTGTCTCTCCAGTGCCCGGCACATGCTCAAAAAATGCTTGTTGATTGGTGGATGGCAAGTCGTTTTACTGGTGCTCTTATTTTCACCCAATAAATCTACCCTCCGGAAAGACTCGCCCTCATCCTCATCAGCTTTGCTCCCCAGCCTGAGCGCGTGCTGACCTCTAACATTGTGGATGCTCTTCTTTTAAAAAAATTATTATTTATTTTTAGCATTCTTTTTTTATTTTTACATTTAAAAAAATTTTGCATTCCAAATTTTCTCTCTCCCTCCGGCCCCTCTCCCACCCATTGAGAAGGCAAGCAATGTGCTATTGGATGCTCTTCTTGAAAGGCGCTGTGGCCCAGTGGTTAGAGTGCTGGACTTGGAGGCGCCAGGAGGACCTGGGTCCCACTTCAGACCCTCGCTGAACCTGACCAAACCTCAGTTTGCCCGTGGGTAAAATGGCAGTCATAGTAATACCCTTTGTAATGCAAAGGAGATAATAGCATCCAGTGCTTGGCAAACTTTGAGGGCCTCAGAGCTGTCCGTCCTCAGTATTGCTTCTCGTCATCACAGCCCGTATCGAGTCAGCGAGGGCGTCTCCCTGCTGGGTTAGTGCCTGGGCCTCGTGTGAGCTGTTGGGCACTGGCCGTTGGGAGTCACTGTCTGGATTCGAGTCCTCAGAAGGGCAGCCCCCTGCCATATGCCAGAGGCAGACTTCTGTCTGTCTGTCTGTCTGTCTTGTCTGTGATTTGGCTTTGCTTTTCTGATGGTGTCGGAGGGCCCTGAGAAGAGAAGGGGCCGCAGTAGAAGCTGCAGTGGGTCAGGCCCAGCCACTTCTTCTCCAGACCAGTGCCTCTTCTCTGTTTCCAGATGTCCTCCCTGAATTCAATGAGATGGACACCTCAAATCCAAACTGCGTTGTCATTGCGGATTCAGGGGACAGCTTTTCTTACCAAAATGTGAACAAGGCCTTCCGAGTTCTCGTCAGCCTGGAAAATCCTGTGCTCATATCCCTGGGAGAAGGGTAAGTGGACTCAAGGGGTTTCGGAGAGTTATTAATGAGAGGGAGCAAAGAGGCCTCCGAGCTGGGAAGAGCCAGGTTCAGATCTAACTTCTGAACCAAGCTGGTTGTGTGGCCCACGTCAGATCCCTTAACCTCTGTGTTCTCTGTGGACTGCTCATGGAAGAGGGGATGCTGACCTTCGGAGTTTGCTCACCTGGGTGTTCCCTCTGCCGTTTTAATCTCAGGTCCAGTCCCCATCCTTGTAAATGTGTGATCTCCTCTTTCTTTTATTTGTGGCCTGGAGCAGCCCCTGGGGGTTTAGAAGAGGGAGGGAGAAGGGAAGACAGAGAAACAGAGAGAGAGAGACAGAGACAGAGAAAGAGAGAGAGAAAAGAAGAGGAGCAGGAAAAGGAAGGAGAGAGAAAGAGAGGAGAGAGAGACAAAGACAATTTTTTTCTTGCCCTTTTTCAGTTATGTTCTGAAACAAGAACGCTGCCCCCACCCCCCATCCAAGTCCCTCAACCTGAGGAACAGACCCCAGGCCAGCAGCAGGGCTTCATTTCCCTTCCATTTAAAGGAAGGTAGAGCAAGAAGATGGGCCTTCAGGTCTGGAGGAGAAGTCTTGGGCTCCGTGGGGAGCAGCCCTCTCTCTATCGGGCTTTTTTAATTGAAGGTGTTTTGCAGTCCATGTTAGCAGTTTTTAAAAGGTGGAATTGAATCATGAGTGTGGAAAGTCCCTCTATGCATGCAGATTGGCCACTCATCTGCCCCACCCCGATGGTCTTGGAGAGTTACCTGGAGTCCTGACGTTAATGGACTCGCCCAGGGTCATGCAGCTAGTTAGTGTCAGCTTCGGAGGCTGGACTCTACTCCACCTCCAAGGCCAGCCTTCTTACCCCTCTGCCAATCTTCCACTCAGCGTGGGCATACCAACTCTGGTTGGTTAAAATTTTTGTTCTCTAAATTACTGTATTATTTCATTGATTGTTTTATTACACTTCTTGAGAATCTGTCCCATTCTGATGCCTCATTCTGACCCGGGGATGTGGGCGATGGGTGTTTTTGCCTTTCTTTGTAGCTCCAGATCTTAGCATTGAGTCTGGTACCTAATAAAGGCTTAATAAATGCTTGTTGACTGACCCACTGACTGACTGCCCCAACCTGGAAAGGCCTTGAGTGTGAGTTTGATGACTGACCGTAGAGTTTTCTTGTTGAAGGATCAACCTTAGCCCTGGAGGAGCTGGCCCCAGCTTAGGAATTTCCTGGTTTTAGCAATTCTGGAAAACCACTATCGAGTCATTGGGGAGGGAGTGGGGATTGTGGGGATCGTCAGTGGAGGGGGAATCATGGATCCATGGAGTACTGAGCGGCAGAAGCTGAGGGTTGCCAGGGACCTCAGAGGTGACCTGAAGTTCCTCCTAGAATCCGACCTAGGGCACCCGGCTTCTTCTTGTATACCCTCCGTGACACGGAGCTCATTACCAGGCAGCCTGTTCCATGCTTCTAGACTTCAGGCAGTCCATTGGGCTGAGGCTGACCTCCTTGGAGCTCCCACCCACAGGCCTTTCATCTGCTTGGTAGGAAATGTGATCAGAGTTTAACCTTGGAAGGGAGAATGCCTGTCTGTCTGTCTGCCTGTCTGCCGGTCCATCCACTTGTCTCTGCCTTAAGCAGCACCACATGGCTAAGTCATTTTTCATTGAAAGTGTCTTCTCCTCAAATATAGAAAGTCTTTAATGGCGTGACTCCTAATCCTTAGTGGTAAGAAGCCTGATGGGATGATGAGCGCCACCTTGGGCGTCTGGAGAGCCAGATTCCAGTCTGGCTCACAGCCTTCTTAGCTGTGGGCAAAATGATAGAATGATAATAGAATGTTAAATATTAGAATAGAACATTAAATAACAGAATTATTATAATAGTAATAATAACAATAATACCAGATGATCGATGACAGCAAGCGTCTATAAAGTGCTTGAAGGTTTTTAAGGCATTTTACAGGTTTTCTTGCTTGATCATTCTGAGCCTCAGTTTCCTCATTTGTAAAATCCTCAGACAGCGCAGGAGTGTGAGGAGCATGCTTAAGAAACCTTTAGACTACAGAAATGGGCGTCTCAGCGCTCTCTTCTGTAATTTGAGCACAGCCTCAAGTGAAACAGAGTCATCCTGTCTTTTGTGCTTTATGTGTGTTCTATTTGACATCAGCTTCTGTCTCCTCATTACATCAGAAAGTCAGGTTAGAGTAAAGAATCTCTGAGGGTTCATCTGTTTCTGCATCCCTTAGCATTGGGAGGCGGTGTTCATGAGGGGCTGGTCCTGAGGTCAGGAAGACCTGAGTCCTAATACTGCCTCAGACACTAGCTGTGTGACCCACGGCAAGTCAATCTCTACTTGCCTCAGTTTCCTCATCTGTAAAATGGGGATCATAATAGCTCCCTGCCTCCCAGGGTTGTTGTGAGGATTCAATGAGATAATATTTGTAAAGCACTTTGCAAACATTTGTTTTTATTATTATTATTATTATTTTTATGATTACCATTGCTGATAGCTTATCACCTTTTGGGGGGTTAAATATTGATTGGAAATATCCCTTGCCCCCTGGGTGCTCAAAACTAGGGAAGGGAAGCTGATACAGACAATATAGGGGCATGGGGTGGGGTAGTTAGAAACCTTGTGCCCTGCCCACAGTCACTCAGTCCCTGCCCATGTGGCTGCCCAGGCCAGCCAGGCCACCTGCCCTCCCACATCCACAGCTCCCAGGCTCTTTGGAGCGAATGCCTCCTGGAGAGGGAGTGATTTACATTTAGCATCTGTTTGGGGCTGAGAGGGAGAATTGGCTTTGTAATTTCCTCTGTCACGCCACTGTCAGAAAATTAAGCTGTTTACGCCATAGACCATAGAAGGTTAATGGCTGTTTTGGGAGAGGTCAAGTGGTCATTTTAGAGAGAGGCCGTGCTGTATAATCGGAAACGGCAGCAGAATAAAGCATAAAATCGCATCTGACTGCTCCCAGCCCCCTTGGCAGCCATGTATGGACAGGCAGACACAGATAGACGGACAGATGGATAGGTGGACAGACAGTTAAGAGGATGGATGGACGGGCAGATAGACAGACAGACAGGCAGATGGACAGAGAGGTGGACAGACAAGTGGATGAGTAGGCAGACAGGCTGACAGAGGGACAGGACCACTTAGCTGCTTCTCTCCAAAAGGTTGTTCATCTGAATTCTTTTTCTGATGAGAAAAGATAAAGCCGCTCAGTGGGCTTCTGAGCCTCGGGAGCCCGGCCTGGTCAAAAAATGAAAGGAAGTACTTTTATTTACTTTGTATTGGGAAATGTGTTCAGTGTACACTTGGCCTCAAGACAGTTTCATTTTTCTGAATTACTCTGAATTAAAATCAAGAGAAATCCCAGCAGAGGAAAAACCAACAACAATAACCCAGCAGGTTCCGGTTTTCACGGGGAGGACGATGGGGAAGGGGGAGCTTGATTCGGCTTTTACTCCCCAGCATAGCCAGGCCACCCACCCCCAAGTCCTGGTCCTAAGGGTGCTGAGGCATGGCGGATAAAGTGATTCATTTGGAATTGAGGAAGGGATTTCACTTTTTCCTCTCTGAGGCTGGAGATTCTGTCTCTGAGCTTTGGAAGCAGCCACAGTGCGAGATTCTTGTGTGCTCGGGGGCTGAGGAGGGCGCAGTCCTGGACTTCCTGGCTGGGTGGAAAGCCTTTGCTCAGAGCAGGCAGGGCCACCAGAGGTGGGCCTCGGGGACCCACAGGGTGGGGGAGTGGGGGCCCTCTCCCCACCACTCCTGAAAGCAGTGTTCATCCAGCCCCTGCTTGTAGGCCTCATTAGGGGACCCCACAATGCCCCAAGGCAGCCCACCCCACTTGGGCACCATTTTTGTTGTAGGAAATTTTCCCTTCTCCCGAGCTGAACAGTGGGTCTCTGCAGCTTCCCTCAAGGCTGTGAGATCTACCCTCTGGGGCCAGGCTGAACACGGCTAATCCCTTTCCCACTTTGCAGCCTTTCAAATACTTGTTGGCAGCCATCCTACCTCCCCCTCCCCCGTAAAGCCCTACACAAGCTGCCTGTCTTCCGGCCCTTCTACACTCTCGGATCCAGCCAGACTGTCTTCTCTTCCTTCATAACATGTCACATCCCATTGCCAGGTTTTTGCCCTGGCTGTTCCCCACGCCTGGAATGCATTCCCTACTTACCTTCACCTCGCAGAGTCCCTGTCTTCTTTAAGACACGGCTTGGGTTCCACCTTCGTCTGCACAAAGCTTTTCCTGATCCCCCTTCTGCCGGTCTGCCTCCCCAGACTACCCTGTATCTCACAGCGTTGTGTGGATTTTAATTGATTCTTTCTGTATTTCTGTTGCAGATATTTTTATGTATTTGGTGCATAGTAGGTGCTTCGTAAGTGCTTATTGACTGACTGACATAGTAGGTGTCTAATAAATATTGCTCGATTGATGAAATCTCCCAGGTTCCGCTAGCAGATCCTTCCCCACCCCAGCAGCCCATCTTTGGAGGTGCCAGCTTGTCGATGCCCTGCCTTCCTGCCAGTCGGGTCACATGAGGACAGGAAGCTTGGCCTGAGTCCCAGCTGCTGGGATGACTGAAGTAGGTTTCTTAGGCGTGGTTGTTTCTCAGGCAGCTGGGATCTCACATGCAGAGAGCGGGGTTCCTTGTCTCATCCCCTGGAGCACGAATGGTTAACTTCCATCATTGGGGTAGGGATTGCAACTGATGACTACACCTCCTATTGAGATTGCTTCTGGAGTCTAAAACTGTTCAGTTTAACTGTACAAACAGCTGCTGTGTGTAGAGCCCTGGGGGGAAGATTAAGAGTATATTTAAAACGTCGCCCCTGCCCTCATGGAACTTACAGTCGGTAAAGCCATGAGAAATAGCAGCCTGTTTTTCTAGCATGTCTGGGTCTGCAGTGCCCACACCCCCTTTGCTTGTCCACCCTCTCGCCTTGCCCAGCCCTGACCTGGCTCACTCTCCCCATCTGCC